ATGTTACACCAAAATTTCATAAAAGGTACGAAAAAATATAATTTGCCACTATCTAATAAAATTATATTACTTTTCCAATATTGTGTAAAAATTTGAAAAAATTTCATTCATTAGAACCTTAAGAACTTTTAAAATATTTTAGTTAAACTCTCTACCTGTGCTTCAAAAATTTGATTTTGCTGTATTTTTTATCACCCCTAATGAGGCCTCGTACCTCTTACTCGTACTACATAAATTTTCTTTTTTTTGCTCGTGTGAGTACGAATCTTGGTACTAGCACTGCTCTCTACCATTGCTTCAAATTTCGTACAATACCTATTTATATCTTCGTACCAGGGTACTAAAAGATTTTTTGAATACAGTCCTGCTCATACCAGTTTGATAACATATACCAGCATGTTACATGTTTGATAACTCATAGCAAAATTCTCGCATTAACTAACCTTCTTGGGCTCTTCAGTAAGGCTGGGTGATCCTGCGTAATTTTCAGATATCCGGATTTAAATCCAACATCCGAACCGAAAATTTGCGGATATCCTGTGTTTTTTTTCGAATTCAGATCTGTCTACCTTAATCGAAAGTCGTTTTTACCTAGTATTATTAAATATAAATACATACTTATAATTTATATAAATGAAATTAAAATTTCCAAGGAATGTTTTTATAAAATATTCTAAAACAATTTTCTATGTTTAAATTTTATCATTACTCGATATATTGATAAATTTATCGATATATTGATAGATTTATCGATATATTGATAGATTTATCGATATATTGATAGATTTATCATTGATAGATATAGATTTATCAAATTGATAGATTTATCTTCCGCCTTCGTCTTCCGCCGAATTCCGCCTTTTCTGGCACTTCCTCTTGTCGTCTGCTGCTTTTTATTTTATTTCCTTTACTTCCGCGTCCGCCTTCTGCTTTTTAAAATTCAAAATTATCCATCCCCGATACATTAATGTCTGTCAAAATTACAGTACCACTATTTATATATTATTTTTTAATCTTTTCAAGGAATTTAGCCAAAACTGTTTATTAAACATATATTTTTTTATTTTCCTTATTCATTCTGGGAAAATTAAATTGGAATTTCCATTAAAAAATAGTTTTATTGCTAAAAATCTTTTTAAAGAGATTTTAAATGACTAAATTAATGCAAAATTACTAAATATCTGACGCACTTAAAAATTTAAAAATTTAAAATAAAAACGTCGTGTACTTTGCCCATTCTTGACGAAATTAAATTTAAAAGAGCTTCCTTTTAATATATTTTCTAATAAATTTATTTATTAATTTCTCATTTAATTCTCCTTATTTCCTCATTTTAAAATAGAGTAAGTCGAGTACCGAGTAATTGGGAAAAAACGAGCTCGAGTAATCCGAGTTTGAAAAACCCGAGTTCGAGCTCGAGCTCAACTTTTTAGGCCGAGTTCGAGTTCGAGTAATCGAGTATTTTTTATAAAACAGTATTTTAAAATAATTTCGATAAAAACAATGCAATTCCGTTGGCTTAAATTCTGAGAATTTCTGAAGGACAAATGGAAACACCCAATGTTCAGAAGGCCAGATCCCTCGCGATTCTCTTAAATCACTTGAAATATCCGGATATCACTAAGATCCACCTAACCTGATTCAATACTCCGATATACACAAATCTTCTTTTTTCAGCGCGCAGGTGATAATTTCGAGAATTTTGGAAGGCAGGAGAGCAAAATTTCTTCTTTTTTACCGCCGCAGGCGAAAATTTTAATAAATTTAGAAGACCAGCCCACAAGATTTCTTCCTTTTTGAGCACCGCAGGCGAAAATTTTGAGAATTTTGGAAGATACGTAAGCTAAAAATCTTCCTTTTTGCGCCGCAAATGGGGGCATAAAAATACTCGGTTTTAACCGAGTACGTCGAGTAGAAAGTTTCCGAGCTCGAGTAATCCGAGTATTATGATCCCGAGTTCCGAGTCGATAATTACGCAAAAAACCCGAGCGGTCGAGTCGAGTAACTCGAACTCGCTCGAACTCGACTTACTCTATTTTAAAATATATTTTTATTTAATAAAATATAAGTAGTAGGGTTTCGCCGGAACCGAAATTTTGACCGGAACCGGAACCGGAACCGGATCCAATTTGAGTTCCGGTTCCCGGAACCGGAACTGGAACTTTTCAAAGTTCCGGCCCGGAACCGGAACCGGAACCGGAACTTTTAAAAAAATTTTTGCTAGCAAATTTTTAAAAATTTGTAGTTTAAGTAGGGTTGTCTGTTCACCAACTTCATCGGTTAACCGAAACCGAACCTAACCGAGACTTTTGATTAACCAAAACTGAACCGAAAATCTGTCGGCAATAAGTGATATACATATTTGGGCTAGAGAGTAGTGTATAACGGATTTGGTGGTATAAATGTTTGATATCGGACGATATAAGGAATCAGAATTGTAAAGCTGTCCACATCAAAATCCACATTAATCCATCCAAATAATCCGTTATACCATTCAACTTCCGGTGTTTTTTTGGTTCCGGTTCCGGTTCCGGGAACCGGAACTCAAATTGGTTCCGGTTCCGGTTCCGGTTCCCGGAACCGGAACCGGAACCAAAAAAACACCGGAACTTCCGGAACCCGGAACCGGAACCGGAACTTCCGGCGAAACCCTTTTAAGTAGATAAGCTTTGCCTTTCCCGCCTTATTAAAATTTTAATATTAAAATATTATATATGCGTATAAGTTACCAAAAGCTTGATTAAAAACCTAAATTTTTAACCTCTAAAATTTTTTAATATTTGTTTTTTGGGTTCTGAGATGGTTGTACCAACGGCTGTATTTTCTAATTATTCATTGGTAATTGGTTTTTCGGGTTCTCGACAAAAGAACCCGAGATTGTAATCCTTTGTTTTGAACACATTTACTCCCTGTTTATACACATATCAGGGATTCTTCTGACAAAATAAAACAAGATTCCCGATTTCAGAGAATCGGAATCCCACCCTAAAAATCGTCTGGAATTCCCGATATTCGGGAATTGGAACGGCAGGATTCTTGACACACACACGTTTACACACATTTACTCCCTGTTTATACATCCTTATGTATCCTTCTATATTCTAATATAAGATAACTAAAAAGTGTAAATATATTTATGTTCAATTTAATTATTATTCATTATAATTTAAATAATTTTTGTAGATTTGCGTGATTAAATTTCTTATTTTAGCCCTTAATATAAATACAAAATTTAAAAAAAGTATTGACGACAATGTCTAAAAAAGGGTAATTAATAAAGAAATAACTAAAAAAGTTTAAAAATTTTAATTATTTAACTAAAAATAGTTACCACCCCTCATTATTACATCAAATTTTTAATTTATAATTTTTTTAAAATTCGTTGAAGTAGAAAATCCCTTGTTTTAAATTATTAATTTTTGAGTATTTATTTTTAAAATTTAAATATATTGAATATTTTAATTTTTCTATCATTCACTTTTTTAATTTTTTAAAACATTTGTTTAAATAAATATTTAAATCTTTTGATATTTTATTTGAGTTTCCCATCTAAAAGGGTAATTTTGTAAAATGAACTTTTACTATTAAATTTAAATCTACTTTATTGATAAGTTGATAAAATTGCTTTAATTTTTTTAATAATAAATTTTTCGGTAATATTAAGTTGTCCTTTTTACTCTTTTATCATACATTTTAATTTTGAATAACGTTGCCGCTTTCGCATCTGGCCAATTGTCGAAAATTTTTTCTAGAATAATTTTTTATCTAACATATGCTTTAGTGATGCTCGGGTATCCCGATCCCGACTCCCGACTCGGGAAAATTTCCCGAGTTTTTGGCCTCCCGATCCCGATCCCGACTCCCGGTGTCAATTCCCGATTAAGTTGAGAAATTTTTACACCCCTAAGAATGGATTTTTCTGACAAAATTATATTTTCATTTATAAAAAATGAAGAAATCTGGCCTCTTGGTCTCCTAAAATTCCCAAAAATTTCGCCTGCGGCGCTGAAAAGGGAAGATTTTTGGCTTAAGGATCTTCCAAATTCCTCAAAATTTTCGCCTGCGGCGCTGAAAACAGAAGAATCTGTGGAGTTTTAGTATAGAAATTTCGGTGATTTACTAGTCATGGTGAATGATTTACTAGTCATGGTGAACCATAATCACGGTGAATTTGAAGAGACAACGAGGGATTTGCAGTAATAAAGAGAGATATCAATGGATGATTAATGTTGCACAGGGGGTGTTAATACTATAGAGGGATATGAAGAGATATTTCACTCCAATGAGAGTCAAAATTTTTGGCTGCGGCGCAAAAAATGGAAGAAATCTAACTTCAAGACCTAAAAATTCTCAAAATTTTCGCCTGCGGCGCTAGTAAGGCTTCTTTACCTTCCAAAATTTTCAATATTTTTGCCTATGGCGCAAAAAATCGGAATTTTTGGCGCCGAAGGCGCCAAAAATTTTTTTATTGCTAATTCCCGACTCCCGATCCCGACTCCCGAGGTCATTTCCCGACCCGACTCCCGTTTCCCGATTCCCGGGTTTTTTCTTCTCCCGAGCATCACTAATATGCTTACCTTAGAATGGCAATATTTTTGGCGAACCATTCCTTATCTTGGATAGTGGGTAGGTTTCTTCGTGCCACCTATGTTTAGTGCAGATTTTTTTTGAACTTTCTATCATTTAAACAAGCATGATTTTTAATAACATTTTCCCCAAAATTTTTGTTTTCATTACATTGATTTTTTAAAAAATTTATAAATACGTTTATTTATTCCCGAAGCTTTTTTTATAAAATTTAACAGTTAATATTTTTTGTTTATCCATCATTTCATTTTTAACTTTCCTCATTATTTATTTTTATTCCCCCCCCCCCTTTATTTCACCTCTCTCATTTAAATAAATGAAGCCTTTTAGTTTTTCAGACATTTAAAAAATATTTTCTCAACTACTTATTTATTTATTCGGCCATTCAATTGGCCATTAAACAGCGCGGAAATATGTCCGCTTCTTTAGGATTGTCAATATTTCTTGGAACAATTAATTTACTTGTTGTTTGTGGAAATTTAGCTGTTTTATATATTGTCGTCTCCCAAAAATCTCTTCACACAAGTACAAATACTATTGTTTTTTCTCTTACATTATCTGATTTTTTGCTTGGATGTTTAATTTTGCCATTTTCTATTACCCAGGTATTTTATAAAAATTTAAAATTTTCGAAATTTTTTTTAATTTTCAGGAATTTTCAAATTCCTGGGCTTTTGGTACTCTTTGGTGCAGATCATGGCTTTCTTTGGATATTTTGTTAAGTACAGCTTCAATTTACAATCTTTTAGCTATTAGTTTTGATCGTTATATGGCTGTTAAACAACCAATAAAATATGGGCGGTTAATCTCATCTAGCAGGTAATTTATTTTTAAAAATTTTTAAAATTTATTTTCACCCCTCACAGACTAACAAAATTCAATATTAGCGCTGTTTGGTTAATTAGTGCAAGTTTAGCTGTCCCTCCATTTTTGTCAGACCTTTTTATGGTAACTGCAAGTAATGAACAAATGAGTGATGCTTTACCTGAAGCTAACTATTCTGAAGCATTTTTACAGTTTGAAGGGACTTGCACACCCGTAACTAATTCTGATTTTTATATTTTATTCTCTGCAACTATTTCGTTTATTTTGCCAATGATTTTGATGGTAATTTTTTAATAAAATATTTGGTTAATATGTATTGTCTTCTATCAACTAGAAGATAATAGAGATATCCCATTACTATTTAAAATGTTATCCCATCCTATGTAAACGTCCACCTTTCTCTTTGTATCTTACAAATCTCTTTGTTATATCAACATTTTCAGTCATAATTTAGTAAAATAAGTAAAATTATTGTCACAATCTCTCAAGTATCACTGATCTTTACTTCTTAAAGGGCGGGATACTATAGAAATTCCATTAAAATTAATTAATTTGGGTAATTTAATTTTTCATTCCAGATTGGCCTGAATGCAAGCATTTTCTGCACAGTTCTCGATTCTAGACGAAAACTCTCTCAAGCCACATCCTCAACCTTTCCTGGAAGGAGTACTTCAATTTTATTATCCTCTGCATCCTACAAACAACACCAACCTTCCCAACATTCATTAGTCTCTTATGATGAAATTATTAGAGTTCATAGAGGGGGAAGTAACACTAATATTGGGGGAATCTGTAAAACATCAACAACAAATCCCTCACAATATAGATCAACGTCAACATCTGCTCCATCCTGTTATTTATCAGAAATGGTAATAAAACGTGAATATTTACTTTGAAAAATATTTTTAAAGGGGGAATTTTAAATTATGTAAATTTCTCTCTTGGTTTTTATTAAAAGGAATATGTGCGTAATATTTATATACATTTTCCATGAATTTAAAAAAATAAAAAAATATAGACGATATTATTAAAGGGATAAAATTATTAAGAATAGCAGACGTAAGTTAGTAAATATTCTGAGATTTACGAAAATGATGTTATTAAACGCAGTAAACTTTAAAAAATTGGGCTTTTAACTGAAATGTGAGTTAGAAAAGCCAAATTTTCACCTAAACTTTTAAATAAAGATGATTTTAATAAAAAATTATTTTTTCAGCAACAACCACAATCTCCCGTTATTAGAAAAAAAGTTCGTCGGTCATTCAATTTGCTCAGAAAGAAAGCTTTACCACCTAAACATTACGAATTTTATCAGCCCTTATCTCTACCTATACAACGGGCAATAAGTCAATATGATAGGCAAACAATAACTTCAAATAGCAGAAAACCAACAATAGAAAGTTATGCTACTTTAACAGCTAATTCAACAAGTATTGGATTTTATCAAAGACAATTATCAGCAAATGGAGGCCAACAAAAGGATGAAATGTCATTAACTGACACTTTGGGAAGTAAAAGTTTGGATGCTGAATGGACAGCTTCTAATGGAGGAGGAAATAATTGTGGAGGAACAGTTTCACCTCCTCCTTATTTTAGAGATCAGTGTTTAAGTTGGACATTTAATACAAACAAAATTAGTGCAAGACAAATTTGGTTGAACAGAATAAGAAGAATAAGTATGTAATTTTTTATTAACGAAATTTAGAGTTTTAATTAATGCTCGATTTGTTTTTATCGATACTAACTAAACAAAAATAATAGGATCCTCAGGGTCATGGTTAGACGTGATCGGTGTCCATATCTAAAAAAAATACTATCTGACCTTTCTGGCCGAGCTCTAAATTCAATTACGAACACATTTAATTACTTGTCTTTAATAATTTTATATTCTAAATACCAGCTGAATGAATAATAATCGAGGGAAGATAATTAAAATTTTAAGTTTTGATTCCTATCCTTTTTTTATTCCAAAAGAAAATCAAAAAATTCGTCTAGTTTTGATTTAAATTTTCTAATAAAAAATTCTCTATAGAAACTTCTCGTGAACAAAAACGTAGTTACCAGTCAATTCTTTCATCTCCAACATTTGATTTAAATTCTTCCCTTAATGCACAAATGGCTTTAAATATGCGGAGATTGCTTGAACAAGAAAGACTTGTTCGTTCAATTCCTGCTGTTCGACAGCCTTCAATGTGAGAGAAAAAATAAAATTTTCGATTAATTTTCTTTACAAAATTTTTTTAGAATTGAGAGAACAGCAGATCGTTCTGTCTGGTTTCCGGCCGTAGTAACTTCTCTATTTGCTGGAAGTTCAAAAAGGAGTGCAACCATTTGTCGCCGTCAAAGTGAAAAATTATTGCTTTACCCAACATTACAATTTGCTAAAACTTCGTTAAGAACAGAGCTTAGAGTTGCTAGAACTATTGCTGGTAATTAAAAAAAAATTTTTTAATGGGGAAAAAGTAAATTTTTCACTAATTGTTCAACCCCCCCCCCCAATAAACCCAGTAACTTATCTTTACCCATAAGAAGACTCTTTTTCATGGGATTAAGCGTGGGATCTCTCTATTTCAACGACTGATCCCACTTCACATTCATACGTCACTTAAGTTCATGCTAGTCCCTATGGGTGTAATTCCACCTACTATAACAAAATACAATTATATTTTTTAACAATTAAGTATTTCGTCACTTCCTGTTTTTTTCTAAAAATTTAAAAATTAGAAACCATAAAAAAATAAAAAAATAAAAATTTAAAAAATTAGTCATAATCCTCTTTCTATTCTTTATTTTTAAACATCATTTATGTAAATAAATCCCCTTTCCTCAACAAAAATCCTTTATTCTTTTATTTTATATAAAATCCTCTTATAATTAAAAAAATATTAATTAATTAAATATTTGTGGGGTCATTTATTAACAGTTAAATATTTTTTAGTTGTGGTCGGATGTTTTACTTGTTGTTGGCTTCCTTTTACAATTATCTACGTTGTGCAGGTCTTCATTTTTTATTTTATTTTTAAATAAGTCTGTGACTAATAATTTGTGTAATTTTTAATCCTCTCAATCTTTGATAATTAAAAAATATTGACTAAAATTTATTTTTAATATTTCGAGGGAAAAATAAATAAATAAATAAAAAGGATTTTTATTAATAAAAATAATGAATACCTAATTAAATTAAATTATTAATTAATATTTTTCTGGAAGAATTTTTCTGATAATTTAAGAATAGTATATATTACACTTATAGTTACCGTAAATACGTACTCTATTATAAGCCCACCTCTTTTAGAAGCCCACCTCCAATATAAGCCCATCTGAGGAGACCCATTGAAAATTATAAGCCAAGGTCTTATATTAGAATATTTACGGTATTCAAAATTTATGTCTTATATCCGACCCCCCTCTCCCGAAAGGAAAAATTAGAAAATGAATTCTTGTGGCAATATTTTTGCGTATTCCTTCCAACCCCTATACTAGATTAAATAAAAAATTAATTTAATTCTTCTAAAAATAAAAATTTTCAGGCTTTTCAATTCTGCCCAATCGGAAAATGTATCCCCGAATGGTTATTTACTTTGGCATTTTGGCTTGGTTATTCTAATTCGGCTCTAAATCCAATACTTTATGCGGCTTTTAGTAGAGACTTTCGAAATGCTTTTTGCCGACTTTTAACGCGTGACAGAAATTCTAGTTTTAAAAGTAGTGGATAAAATAAATGAATAGATTTATTTGTTTTCTTAAACATCTTTCAATGTGATGGATTTTAACCTCGTCAATTCGTTTTACGAATCGTTTTTTTTTGAATTTATTTAAAATTATATTTATGTTTTATTGTAAAACTGCCTTATTTATTTAATATTTTTTTTTGAATAAAATTTTAATGATTAAGCGAGAAATTTTGTGGATTTTGATCATTAGTTATTTTGATTTAATTTGGATTAAATAGTTCGACATAAATTTTTCGATGTCTAAAGATACATTTTTAAAATTTAAGTACTATGTAAATCCATTTTTAAGTAAGGAAGGACTTGGGTATGTCTCAATTCCAGTAGCTAACATTTATAAAAAATTGTCAAAGTATCTAAAATCGAGATTCGACAGTATTTATATCTGAATCAGTTAAGCAAGATTTTGGAATATTACTCAATCAAAAAACAATTAAAAATAATCGGTCAGTCGCTTTTATTTTTCGCCCTCATCGTTAATATAAAAAATGTTTTAACTATTTTATTAAAATTTTTTTCCAAAATATTTTTCTACATATTTAATTCCATCTCTATTTTCCTTGCCCTCTGTCACAGCCCCTTTTTGTCAGTCGTGTTGTTTGTTTTAAATATGTCCGATGTTTGGACAAAGCGTGTGTTGTGGTCCTGGTCCTTTCATGGTTCGCATCGATGTTATGATGCTTGTGTTTAATTTATCGCAGCCGTGCCTAGGTGTTGTTGGCACTTTTGTTGTTTTGTCACATATCCCAATTAGCAGCCAATTTTCTCCTCTAATGTTTTTCTCAATAGCCTGGGGGTGTACGTGGTTGTGGACAATGGTCACAAGTTCCAGGCTCTCCTGGAGGTCCACCAGGTCCAGGAGGTCCTTGCGGTCCTGGTGCTCCTGGTGGTCCTGGAGGACCGTCATCTCCCTTTGGTCCAGGGCCTCCAGCTTCATTAGTGCCATCCTTTCCAGGAGATCCTTTCTTTCCTGGAGGTCCAGGTGGTCCCGCTGGTCCTTGTTGTCCGGCTGGGCCATTGACTTGAATCACTCGGCCAGGCGTACCAACTGGTCCCGGCGGTCCAGGTGGGCCAACTAAAAAATATTTTGAGGTTAATTAAGATCGCCCATTAAAATCTCACCAGGTCCTTGCAATCCAAGCGGTCCTTGGAAACCGGGTGTTCCTTTATCTCCATTCTTTCCTTGCTCTCCAGGTTGACCTTTGGGTCCGCGTGGTCCTTTCTGGCCTGGCGCTCCTTGTGATCCGGGAGGTCCTGCTGGACAGATGATACAGGGTTCACGAGGTATTGCACTTCTAAGTACTTGACCATCACGGCCATCTTGAGCATCTTGGCCATCCTTTCTGAACAAAAAATATTAGTTGGGAAAACTATCCTAATTATTTACCCATCAGATCCAGGCTCTCCGTTATCTCCAGGTGGGCCGGACGGTCCAGGTGGGCCTTGCTGACAAGGACAGCATGTAGCTGGTTCTGGATTCACAACTCCATATCCTCCAGCTTGACGCTTTCCACGGCTTCCAGTTGGCGGTGCTGGTTGATTCAACACTGCCATTTCTGTCCACATATCGCGTGAACGTATTTTACAGAAGTCAGTCTCCTGGACCAAATGACTTTGGAAGGAAGCAACATAGCTATAAAGCATTGGCAATGTAACTATTGAAGCTATAACTGCTGCTGTAGAAATAACAATTGAGAAGAAAGCTACTCGACGTAATTGGCGATGCTCCTCTGTTTCGCCGCCGTCGTTGTCAAAAACGATCGGCTGCTTTTGTAGTTGGGAGTCCATTTCTGGACACTGTGACTTGTTGATTGACTCAATGACTTGGGGCACTGACTGACAATATTTTCTCAGTCAGCACTGAAATAAAAAATTATTTATTTAAAAAATATTTGAGGAATTTTGATAATTTATTATTTTAACATTTCATTTTTAAAATGTATTTCCTAATCATTTCCCCTGAGTTCACCTTATACATTTTATCAACAGTTTGATAGTTTAATGTTAGGTTCCTTTTTGAAATTTAAAAGATAAATTTAAATAATTAATTAAACCAACCTATACGGGCTAAGGGCTTGCGACCGGCCGAAAAACTGACGACGACTGATAGTTTACTAAGAAATCCCATCGCTTTAAATGGCTTTTGAGATGACGGAACTAGCTCCCCAAAAAATATAAAAAAAATCTTGATTTCCCCTGCAGCATTACTAAAAACAAAAAATGATTGAGAATGGATTGTTTCCGCTAAATAATTTTTTCTTTATTATTTAATACCCTAATTTACCAACTAATTAATAAACAAGAAATAAAGGATAAAAAATAAACAAAAAGTTAATAAAAAATAAAAGAAATTATGCGACAAAACTAAAACAAAGAGAAAAGATTAAAGACAAGGATATAAAATACACCAAATAAAAATTAATTTATTTTGACAAATACTGGATTTTATATAGATTTTTATCTTATTTTTTATCTTATTTTTTATATTATTTTTTTATTTTATTAAACAAGTATTTAGAGTCTAACAAATTAAAAATGCTTGGAAATAATGAGGAAAAATTGAATTATTTTGAATTTAAATTTGTGTTTTATTTAATATTATTTCCAAAATTTGTAAAATTATATAATATTTTTCATTAACCAATGTTATTTTAGAATCTATTTACATTATAGAATTATTGGAATATTCAATTCCCATTTAAACATTGATATGGTGTTTGAGGATGGGCGAAAGATAGATATTCCTAAATCCCAAAAATCAAAAATTTCTAATAATTTTTGTGTCAGTTCCTCTAATTCACAAAACTCAGATCTCATATTCGAGATATATGTTGTAATATCGAGCAGGTTGTAATCTCCAAAAACGCAAGGCCGAAATTTAACGTCCGCACTTATTATCGAGTATCCGATTATCAGCTATTCATTGAGATATTATTCAAGTTTTATTCTTTAGTTACTTCATTTTTATTTTAAATTTAATTACCGAGTATACCTCTAAGATATCAATTACCTATTTACTTAAAAATATAAATTTATTTTACTAAAATTTTTATTTAATTATCGGTTAAAACAAATTACTATTTTTCTTCATTATTCTCATTTACATTTAGTTTTTTTACTTTAATATTCAAGAAAAACTCGTGTCATCCTTCCTCCCCATTGTTTGCTTTAAAAAATAAATAATTGTTATATTCCTGTCTTTTAGACAATTTTTTGTTTGTTAATTGCCAAATTTTAAGAAAAATAAAATAAAAAAGACAAAAGCAATTAATTGGCCTTATAGAGAAAAAGAAAAAATTTCTTCAAACTCTTTAAGTAACACGTGAATAAAAAATTTAAAAAATAAAAAAACCGTCGGCTTTTCCATTTTTTTTTTATTTTTCCCGTTACACTCGAAGGTTCCAACACTCATTTTCTTTAAGTAAAAAATAAAAGAAAATGGCAAAATTACTCTGGCACATTTCAATGTGTTGAGTTGTTTTGTTTCTCTCTCAAGTATTTTATTATTTAAATTTGGAGAAAGGAAAGATGGGTTTTAAAATATTTGTTGAGTAGATTTTTGTATTAATCTTTAACCAATATCCGAAGACTTTTTAGGGAAGAAAAGGTCTCTGTTTGATCGTGTGATTATAGCGAGAACGGCCATATACCGCAGTGACTTTATTTTATGGTTCAAGTAAATTTTATACCAAAAAATTCGAAATTTTTGTAAAATTTATTTTATAATTCTTGCAAAAAGGAATTTCAATAGATTTTTAGAATTAAAAGAAATAAATTTTTTCCTTCTAACATTAGATTTATTTTATAAAAATAACAATACTTATATTTTGCGTTTTTTAATTACGTAAATTATTTTTAAATAATAAATTTTGTTAATAATCTAATACATTTGTTAGATTATTATTTTTTGTTTTTCTTGTATTGTTTTCCCTCAAAGGGAGAAAAAACAATTTTTGAGAGAATTTTACAATTAATAATTATTAATCTTTTTATTTTTTTTTAAATTCCTTAGAAAAATAAAATGCCAAAATTAATGGTTTCGCCCTCTTTATGTTCCTCTACCTCTTCTTCAACTCGCCGGCGGCGGTCAAATTCATTTATCACAATATTTCAAATGCTCACTAAATTTTTAAATCAAAGAAAATATGCAGCTAAGCCTGTATTGACTATTTATGTGGTTGGTTTTGCTTAACGATTTTATTTACTTTATCAGATTAAATATTTTGGATATTCGTAACCGACCAAAGAACCGAACTGAAAAATCCTTATGTACTTCTTCGGTTTGATACCAAACAGACAACCATAAATAGTCTTGGGTGTTTAGAAAGTTTTATTCTTTACTTATCGTTTTATTAAAGATAAAGTGAAGTAATAAATTATACTAGAAGCTAGATAGTTAATAGAGGTCTCGTTTCTAAAAATTTTTTGAATATCCAAAACCGAACTGAAGAAATTTTTTATAGATAAAATCACAATATGTTGTTACAAAAATTCGAAAAATGTTTTTTGTTTAAATATAAAAATATATTTTTAATTTCTTCAATTCCTCATTGAATTTATTTTTAAAATAAAAAAAATTAATTTTTATTAAAGGTGCAAATGTTGTTGATCGCTCCCTTTATTATCCGTTCAGGTGTTCCTTTAAATTTGAATGCGTTAATGAAGCCATTTCAAAGAATGTATGCAAAAGGAATTGAATTTGATATAAACACTTTAGTTATGATAGCTTCTGCTTAGGAAAGGAATTTTTCAAATTTAATTTTCAGATTTCTATTTTTTTGAATATACATACTTATAAATATTAAAAATATATTTAAAATAATTAAAATAATAGAAATTTAATTTAGGATTTTTTTTAAATAAGTATTTTCTAAAATTCTAAATGAAAATACTAAAGAAAATAACAAAATTTTCACAAAATCTTTTTAATTTTTAAAAATCAAAATTTAGATTTTTTACAGAAACTTTAGGCCTGTTTTAATTATCCACAAATTCTGTGTTTTTTAGAAATTTCTTAATTAGAATAAATATAGATTTTGTGGAATAATTAAAAGAGACTTTAAGTAAATTTATAATTTATAAAAATTATCAAAATTAAGTTTTTAATTAAGTTTTCAAGTTTTTTAAAATCAAAATATTTATTTTATTGTCTGTTGTTTTGGTAGAAAATTTTCATTTAATTTAAGACAAGTTCCACAACAACTAATTGCCATTTTTCTTTTTACTAGTACATTACTTGACTAAAATTTAGAAAAAAATATAATATTTACTTGAATAATCACCAAACAATGCCCTAAATTTGCTGCAATTGCACATATTCCTTTAAATTTTTCAATATCGTCAATGCAGGCTGGAATTGGTTGAGAGAATAAAAATATTTTTATAAATTTCGTTTAAGGTTCTTACGTTTTAAAGGAACTCCATTGATATATAACATTGGAGGAGTTGTTGGTGGAGTTAAAGGGGTTGTTGTTGTTGGAGTTGTAGTGGTTGTGGAAGGGGTTGTAGTAGAAGTTGTGGTGGTTGTAGTTGTAGTAGTGGTTGTTGTGCTTGTAGTTGTACTAGGGGTAGTGGTTGTTGGGGTCGTTGGGGTTGTTGTAGATGTAGTAGTAGTAGTAGTGGTTGTGGTACTTGTGGTTGTAGATTCTGTGGTAGATTCTGTAGTTAAAGGAATTGTATCAATTATTGAAATTGTAGTAGCTTCCGTAGCTTCCTCTGCTCCCTTCCTTTTACAACATTTCCCAAGTAAACAAGACGAACCTTCAGGGCATTCACCAAATCCAAAAGTTGAGCAAGCTAATTCAAATAAATTAAATTATTTAAAAAATAACAACTTCCAACAATATCTCCACCAAAAGCTTTACACCAATTAACAGATTCAACTAACAGTGGTGTTGTCCAAAAAATTCTTGTTAAAATAATGAAAAACAAAAAATTGTTTAATTTGATTATACCCATGAAATTAAAATTTGTTAAATTTTTATTTAGAAATTTAAAAATATTTTTGGCATAAAAAATTATGAAATAATTGGGAAATATTTTTTTATTTTTTTAAATTTAATGGAATCATTAGTAAAAACCTTTTTTAATAGTTTAAGTAAAATAAAGCTGAATAAATAAAACTTAAAAATTTATTTATTCGCTTTATCAAATTTCTTTAAAAACAGTTAAATTTAAAAAATAAAAGTTTAAATTAAAACTTTAAATTAAAAAAAATAAATAGTAAATGTTAAAAACAATTTTTGAATAAATATTTTGTTGCCATACAGTCCGCAAGTTTTTTCTGGATATTTATTATATTTATTTCCTTGAATTGAATTCCAGAATGATTTAAAAAGTCGTATGTTATTCATTCTTGTCTAAAAAAATTTTTTTGATAAGTAAAATACGCTTGCAGAAAATTTTACAGACTATGTGACAACCGCACTATGATGTGTGTTCAAATATTTTTATGCCAAATATTCTTTCCTTACACTTCATTGTAAATTTGCTATCCTTTGAATTTTTTCGTTGAAAACATCAGTATGTATAAAATAACAAAAAATTATAACTTTTAATTATTTATAAACAAACATTTATTTATCACAAATATTATAATATTTATGCGCAAATAGTTTTCTTTAAATATTTAAATAGCTGCAGAATTTTTTATTAATTATTACATCAATTAATATGTATATAAATATATTATGTATATACATTTTTACATCCTAGACTCTCATTAATATTATAAATCTAAAATTTTTTCTGAGTGTTTTTGAAAGTTTATTTCTCGTATACAAAATTATTTCCATCACAAGTATCTTTAAAAAATTAGACAAAATAAAGAAACGAACTTAAAAACATTTTTATTATTTACTTTTTTCAACGTCAAAAACTTTTTAAAATGTACTTCCGCATTAAAATCGATGTATTTATCCTCTCTTTTAGTTTTTCTACCAACCGCTGAAGTCTGTCGTTGTTTTTTGCCTAGTCCTCAATAGTGCATTTTGTTAGTATATTAGTTAATATTTTTAATAATAATTTTTAAATTGATTATTTTATAATTAAAAATAATTAATTTTAATTTAATATTAAACTCTCTCAATTCTTCTACTAATAATATTTTTTAATTTAAAATATTCAAAAAATTTTTTATGATAACACGTCTTAATACATACACTTTTAGGATGTTTAAATTAATCCCAACTCTTAAATATTATGATTTACTATTTATTGTAAGGTGATTTGATAAACTGAAAAAATAATTTTTATTATTTTAATTATGATTTTTATTAATTTAATCATTCTAAAAATGAGTAGAGGCGGAAGGGGTTCAATCCCTGATATATACCCGAAAATTTAAAGAATTATCATTTTAATAGAAAATGTTCTTCCTTTTCTTTGGTATTTTATTAGCACTTTTTCAACTTTTGCTTTTTTATAATTTTTATTGGAAACGACGTCATTTGCCTTCCGGCCCCACACCTTTGCCTATTGTTGGAAATTTGTTAGAGTTGGGCAAAAAACCTCCAGGTTATGATATTTTTCTTAAATGGAGAGAAGAATATGGACCTATTTATACATATTGGGTGGGTATTTTCTTTGATTTTTATCAAAAAATTAAATATTTACAAGGTTGGAGAACAACCAATGGTTGCATTTACTGAATATTCTTTAATTAATGAAACTATTGTAAAAGATGGTGATAATTATACAGATAGAGACTTCTTTCAAGATTTTTATACTTTAGCACGTGGTGAGAATTTTTCTTAAAATTTCTAAATCGGGTTATGTATTACCAAGAGGGTTATTGTCCCACCCCACATTAATACAGCTGAATTATAAAAATAATCTATCATAAATAAAGAAATATCTAATGATTTTGAGGATAATCAAAATTTAAATCCAACTGGATTAAAATAAATTTTTAAAAAAATTTTTAAGGTAAAAATGGACTTGTTCATATGGTAATAAATTAATTAAAAAATTTAAATCTTCTCTTAATTTAAAAAATTAAAAGTAGGAAGGACAGGCTTGGCGTGAGCACAGAAAATTCCTTATGAATGTTTTTAGAAATCTTGGCGTTGGAAAAAATTTGCTTGAACAAAAAGTAAAAAATAAAATAAATTAATAAAAAATATTTTTAATACTTAAAAAGGTTCTTTCTGAATTCTCATCTATGTGTGAAAATATAGATAAAGCTATTGGAGAGTGCCCTACTGGAGAAGATATGGAAATTGTTTGTTATAAATTATTAAAATTTTTAATTAATCTTTCTCAAATTTTATTACATGATTAAGGGTCTTAGGATATGTAAAATCTAAAAAATTTCAGATTTCTCATTTGGATCTCTGTGTAGGCTCTATCATTAATTCTTTGCTTTTTGGTTATCAATTTCATGGAGTTTGTATTTAATCATATTTAATTTTAAAATTTTGATTATAATTTTTAACAGGAAAAGACAGAGGAATTTGTTGAATTGAAGAAAATACTGAACGAATATATGTATGATTTTTTTAATTATTGAGATGAAAATATATAGTTATTTGACCATCAAGTAAATATGGAAAATTATAAGATATGGAAAATTAAAATTATAAAATTGTAATTCAAAAATTATAACCATCAAGTAAATAAATATTCCCTGACGAGGAGGCAGCGGGGAGATGACGGAAATTAACAAAAAAAAGTCCTAAGTTGTTATGTAATGTAATTGTCAACAGTCCTTTCATGGACGGAGACAGAGTACAAATCTGGTAAAACAACCTTATTTAAAATTTGAAAAATTAGGTAGATCAATTATTTAATATTTTTTAAAGGTATACAATCGGCCAACCATCAACACAATTTTTAATGTCTTGGTGGCCCCATTTAATCAGACATTTACCTTATTTTAAAGAGATATTTCTTGAAGTACAACGCAAAATAATGAGAACTTATGCTTTTTTCAAAAAACAAATAGAAGAACATGAAAATGATGGAGAATATTTGGGTGATGAACGTTTAGATTTTGTTAGTGCTTTTATGCGTGAAGTTAAATTGAAGGACGGAAAAGAGGATTATGAGTATGTTTAATAATTTATCGGGGATTCGATCACAATCTCGAAAAACAGAAAAGGTTGCGAGAAACATTCGAGATCATTATACGAAGAAGTTGTTCACACTTGTCTCGATCCGATTGCTCATTAATTATTATGGATCATTAATAATTCATATAATTCATCATCTACAATACTTTTGAATCTATAACACAGGAGAATAATTTAAAGTTTTCTATATAAGTTTTTTGTAACATTACTAAAGTATTTTTGGCAAAAAATTTTACATTTGCCCTGTGATTTTTCGGAAAAATATTTTCGAATACCTTCATGTCTACGGCCTAGCTGAAAAATTTTCATATATCTGCCAATAAACATTACACTCGTTTAGATAACATTTACTTATATTTAAGCATGGAAACACTTTATGCCCATTTACTAGATTTCTGGATTGCTGGACAAGAAACAACAACAGACACTTTAAATTGGGGAATAATTCATATAATTCATAATATGAATGTTCAAGATAGATTACATAAAGAATTGGATTCAGTAATTGGAAGTAATAGACAAATAACTTTGGCTGATAAAACTGATTTGCCGTATTCAAATGCTGTTGTTAATGTAATTAATTAAATTATTTTTTAAAAATTTGAATTTTTCTCTAAAAAATATTTAAATTAAAAAATTAACAAATCTAAGCATAATAGGGAGTTTCCTTAATTTTTATTTAATTAGTTTAAGGGATTTTAGAAAAAAATATGTATGTAATTGATAACGACAGTTAGGATTTTTAGGCAAATATATTTTCCTATTTTGTTTGCCTTTAGTGCCTATTTTGACTTTTTAGTGCCTAAAAATCCTAATACCAATCATAATAAAATAAAAATATTAACATAAATTCTTGTTAATTTATTTTGATTATTTAACTAATTTTCGAAAGTGAGCAGGAAATTAATTTTAGAATATTTTTTGGCCAAAGTTTTTCCAAATTTTAATAAAAACAATAAAAAGCAGACAATTTAAATGTAAAATATTAATTTTTAATTACCCATTAAAAGTCTTTATTTTTTATTTAATCAAAAAGGAAATAATGCGTATAGCCAACGTTCTTCCACAAAATTTGGCACGTCGTACAGTTCAAGATATAAATGTTAGAGGCCATTTATTACGTAAAGGAACATCTATACAACCTTTAATTTCGTGTGTTTTATATGATGAAAATGTTTGTTTTTATTTAAATTTTCAAAAAAATATTTTTAAAAAGATTTTCCCAAATTCTCGTCAATTTCTTCCCGAACGTTTTCTCAGTGAAAATGGAACACTTAAACGTTTTGATGAATTTATTCCTTTTTCGATTGGTAAAAGATTTTGTGCTGGAGAGTCTTTGGCAAGAACTGAACTTTTTCTTATCTTTGTTAATCTTTTTAACCAATATGAGGTGAGAGAAATTGAAAAATACCTTTTAATTAATTTTAAATTAATTTAGATTAGCCCACCAAAATATTCAGAGATGCCCTCCAAACAACAAAATTTTGGATTAAGTGTAGTACCATTACCCTATAAATGCCAAATTAGAAAAAGATTTGATTCTCAAATACATAGAATGATTTAATTTTTAATTATAATTTATAAATACCGTATTTCCCCTAATAGAACGACAGCCTCTATTTGAACGACGGTCTAGAGGGAGGTTGAAAAATAAAACGACATGTCGTTCTATTAGAGTAAATACTGTATATTTCTTTTATTTGAAATTAATTTTAATTAATAAAATTAAATATTGAATAAAAAATAAGTCAGAAAATTGGATAACATTGGGCCAATTTAGTATTTCAAATTTAAATAAAAAATATTCTTATTTAAATATCTAAGGCAGTGTTCTACTCTACCAAAAATTTACCCCATTTTTGAGACACATGCACCTTTCTGGTGATTTAGAAAGGATCAACTAATCTAGGTGAATATAAAAATACAAGTAGTTATATAAAAAGATTTATTATTTTTCCTAAATTAAAATTTAATTTCTAAACATATAAATATTTAATAAATAATCTAAAAAAATAAATTTTCAATTCCAAATAGCTGTCATAATAGAATTAGGTTCTAATTCAATTTTCATTTCTCTATCCTCAACAATATCTTTAATATTTAATTCAATAATTTCTTCATTTGGATTAATCAAAACAATTATTTTATCCCCTCTAGGAGTAACAAAAGCTACATGATCTATTTTGTTTAATAAATTAATTGAATAATTAGATAAATTATTAAATAGAGAGGAGTTGATACGGACAGAACCGGGCGGAATAAATTTACTGAAAAAAATGGAAAATAATTTTATTTTGATTAAATAAATTACCTAAAATGTGCAATAAAATAAAACATTGGTTGCTTATAAAATTCATCTTTCTCTCCATCCACAAGGATGGGAGCATCTACAATATTGTTGACCCAATTCGGACCTCCTTCCATATTTAAACCTTAAAGTTAAATTTAATATTTAGTTATAAAGTTGAGGAAAGTTTCTGAAAAAGGATGAATATTATTTCTGATAATACCCATGGTTTCTACTCAAGTTATACTAATTAAAATTCACAAATTCTACCCAAGCTAAACCCTAGTTAAAGTTAAAAATTCTCAGATTCTATCAAATCTCAAAGGTACAAACTAGGGTTGTCAGCGACCGGTTATTAACCGATACCTCTGGTTTTCGGTTCCGGTTAATTCGGCAAAAACGGCTAATGGTCCGGTTCAGTTAGTAAATAAATATCCATCTAACTCTTAAATTTTCTTAATTAAATTTTTAAAAATAATAATTACAAATATTCCAGTCAATCCATCCAATAGCCCAATTCCTCAAATTATGTAAAATATCGTGTCCATACATCCAACCTCTCGTCCAATTACCAATACGAGGTCCAAAATCTGCAATTATATCAAAACCTGCACATGCCTTTATTTAAATATTTGAAATAATTAATTTAGTATATTTTAACTTTTGTGTATAGTTTATTAGACTTTTGATTTATTTAAAGTTATAATTCTGATTTTTATAGATCAGAAACTAAATATCATTTTTTCTAGGTAAAATTCCATTATTTTTAAATAATTTCAAATTTAAATTACTTCAGTCGATATAATAAATTTGTCCTTGTAAAGTTCATGAACTTTGCTTTGATCTTCAATTTTATCAAGTACATACCAATGAACGCCTATTCCATCTATTGGATTTTTTATTTCCACCTCATTTTGGTAATTTAAAAACTTAAATAAAAAATTATTAAAAATTTAAAGATAAATATTAATTTTTATATAAAAAATTCATCAAAATTATAATCAAGATTATTAAGAGATATTTTCGGTAGGTACCCCTTACTAATGTTGCTCAACCCCCTGTTTAAAATCGATCAATCAGTTCTAAGATTGTCTAATTTTGAATTTCAATTATTAGTACAAATCAACGGTTCTTTGATTATGGTTAACAGAGTTTGATCAGAGATACGCTTGACATCCCAATATAAGGGTTACTTAAAATAATATAAAAAATGTTGTTCTATAAATAAAAAAAATCTTTGCTAATTCCCAAAATTAAATTCACAAAATCCCCACATTTTTCACTCCATCAATAACAAAATCCGGTACTAAAGGAAGTAAATGATCTAGGAAAATGTTAGTCTGTTCAAATGATGTTTTTGACGAAGAAGAATCTGTTTGCTTTTCAAATATCTGAAATTTTTGATTATTTTTTATTAAAAATATTTTTATTTTAATGTCCATTTTTCCAATTATTCTTTTTAAAATTTACAAAAATAAATTTGTCTTGATAATGTATCCGCCGTATTACCTTAAACTTTTAGTGTCTATAAATAGTCAACAAGGATTAGTAAAAGTTTATATATGTACTTATAACGAATAATATTTACTTGTAAAAATTTTAAAAATTTAATTTATTTTCCCAATTAATTCCCACCTCTGAAGCCGAAACAACTAAATGTTCTCTTACATCATCAAAAGCTATCAACTTAAGGTTTACTGTATATTCTGATTTTTGAAATAACGGTAATAATAATTGTTTGGCAAATTCTCTGAAAATAATTATTCATTAATTTTTATTTTTTTTTTGAGAAATACAAAAATTTTTGTATTATATACCTTTACCCCGTTCTAATTAATTTTTATAAACAAGAAAAAAAACAAGAATATTTCTCAAAATGTTCGAGTACAATTTTGAACCAGTTCAAGTAAACTTTTAATATTCTGAGTATTTTTTAAAGTAATCTCTTAAGTATTTATTTAATTTACAAGTAATTTTCCTTATAAAAAGAAATTCGTATAAAGTTTTTTAAGAAAAAATAAATTAGACAATTAATTTATTACGTAACCCAATTATTTTATTAATGGTTATTAAACGTAAATAATATTACGTAAATTATAACATAAAATTAGAATTAGCGGATAAAACACTAAACTTATATTTATGTAGTCTATACAAAAAATTATTTAATAATAATTATTTTTTAAAGATAAAATTATTTTCGACAAGTGTTTTGTTTTTGGAGAAATGGCAATAATGTTATCATGGGGGTATTTGTTTTTAGAGTGTAAAAGGATTGTAACAAGAGAATTCCGATTTCCGACGTTTTTTCCTTCCGATTTCTGAAAAAAATTTAATTTCCGAGTTCCAACTTTTAAGCCATTTTTGATTTCCGACAACTCTGAAAGTTCCGATCCACCTCTGATTGGAACACAATTGAATAAAAGCATTTTAATTATAGAATTCTTGTTTATCCTAAGATAAATAAACTTTCAATTTTTAGAAATTCTTGTAGTTATTGAAAAAAATTTCTAAAAATTTCTGAAAATGATCCCATTTATATTAAAATACCTCTGTGTTCGATTACTCATAAACATTGTTTGGAAAGGAAAATCTTTTTCTAAACCACTCTCTGGCTGATTTTGAATGGTTAAAGCCCAAAAATCAATTCCATTTGCGTGATATTCGTCAAAAAATCTTTTTAAATTTAATTAAATTTTGGATAAATTAAAAAAAACTTTTTCAAATATTTAGCATAGGACTGGTAATAAGGTCCATTTAAATCTCCTTTTAATTCACCATCTCCATTCATTTTCCCATTAGTTTTCATCCATCCAGGTGATGCCCATGGGGCGGCTAAAAGTCTGAAGGGCTGCCCTATTCTGTAGCGATTTGCCATTTTTATGTAAGGGATCTGCAAAACGAGAAATTAGAAAAAAAAAGACTTGGGAGAAATGTCAGAGTAATTTCTATGTAAGCTTTGACTAGCGTAGCTATTTATATTTTCATCTCGTGATATTCGATTCCAATAAAAAAACCTATACATTTAATAATTGATTACCCAAGGATCATTATGGGAGTATTAATAGGTAGAGTAAATACTTGAACTTTCTATTAACATTATTGCTGATTCATCCAATTATGGGCATAATCTTATATTCAAGGTATTTAGGTGAATCAAATTTATTTAGAGGCTTTAAGATTGGAGTACAAAACAAAAGTCAAAACTTCAAAACTAGCCTTATATTCAAAATCTTCTTTTGCCAAAGAAAATGTTTTCAATTCAAAATCCCCTTCTTGTTCAACATAAGAATATTCTCTCGTCGAGAAATCAGTACTAGCAATAGGCACCCTTCCAATAGAATACCCAATTCCCTCCTCAGGATGAAAATAATTTTTAATAAGGCCTTCCCTAGTTGTAGCACTTAAAGAATTTAAATTCAATCCAACAGAATCTGTAAAAGCCCCGCCAAAACCGATTATTGTTTGAAAACGTGTAGAAGAATCAATTGATATTGTTGGTAATTTATCTATGAAGAAATCACAAAAAAAATTTTAAATTTCTAAAAAACTTACTATCATCGGTTTTATTAAATGGGAAGTGTTTAAGCACTTTTTTCATCCGATTCTTTCTTTTATCAGTCAAATAAAAAACTATTTTTCCTTTTGCTAACAATCCAAGAGGCTCAACTTCATCACAATATTCCGAATTACATACACAAATAAAAGTTTCAGAATCTTCGAAAGTTTTTTGTAAACATTCTTTTAATTCTTCCGTTTCAATCTACATAAAATATTTGGAATATTAGATTAATTTAATACGAGAATTTCTTGAAAAAAAATGATTTTCAATTGTCCTTTGACCTTGTATTGGAAAATAAAGGTTTACATAGACCCCCTATATTTAAAGAATATTCCCTTTCTAAAATTCGTCTGCCAACTGGATTAGGGGAGCTGTTTGAGAAAAATTATATTATGAGTAATACTCATAATAATGGATGTACCCAATTTTACGTACAATTTTCAGCCTCAAAAGTTTATGTAAAAAAAAAGCGAAATATTTATTAATATTTAATTTCGGAGAGAGGAAATCAAGAGAGGATTTCTTCCAGTATGTACATATTTTTATGAGAAAAATTTTTTCGCATACAAATTTTTACACCAAATACCAATTAATTCTAGTAAAATACATATGTATTTATACTATTTTGTAGTACCAAGAAGTCAAAAAAAAATTTATTTTCTAAAAAAACTAACAATTTCAGCAGCCAAATAACCGGAAAATAATAATAAAGGGAAAACAAAAAATATTAGTAGATTAAGAAAAAATAAACATTTAAAGTTAAATTTTAGCATGTTTTTAAATTTTGTAGTGGTAAACACTAGATTAGCATGAAAATATATAATTTAAAAAATTAATTAAAAATTGCAAAAAAAAAATAAAATTTATTTTAAACGATAAAGAAATTATTTTTTGAGAATTTTTAAATGGTTATATTTTTATTTTTATTTACTATGTAGCAGTATTTGGCCCTTTTTCCCCCAAAAAAACCTTCTTTCCTTCTTAATCGATTACTCTTTCATTTATTGACAAACAAACAAAATTAATTATTATTTTATTATTTTACACTGTGTTTGTTATCATTAAATAAATGAAATCAAAAAAAGTCGAGAAAAAAATTTTTTTGGAAATCGAACAAAAATTAAATTAATTTTCTCAATTAAATTTTGATTTTCTTTTTAATTTGTGTCGAAAGAAAGATAAAATTATGTAGCATAAAAAACTTTAATTTTGAGAATTTAATGTAAATTTTAATAATTATTAGGTAATTCTATTATTTCAAAATTCATTATTAGTAATAAATTATTAATAATTTAATTAAATATGTACACCTTAAACACACGAATTAATAGTTGTATAGAGTTCCTTTACAAAATAGAGACTTGAACTATACGACGGGGCATTTTAAATTTTAACAAAATAAATATTTTCTAAATAATTAACAATTTTTATCGCCATCAAAGGCTTTAAAAATTTCCATTATAATTTAAGAATTAGCAAAGAAATGTGAAGTCGTAGGCGAAAATTGGTTATTTTATAACTAGAGCTGTGATTTTTATGCAAATGCATATTTTTTTTGCAAACTTGGCATCATGTATAAAGCACAAAAAACACTGTTTCCGCAAGTTTTGAAAACTTTAGAGGGGGTTTCTATTTGCATATAATGCATATTTTTGCATATTTCAGACTTTGGTGCATAAATGCATATTTTACTGCATATTTGGAGGTTTTTGGGGAAAATATCGCGAAAATTGCCCAAAATCTTGTCAAAAATTGAAAATTTAGTAAAAATTCTTGAAAAAATTTGTAAAAATCAAGAATTTTGTAGAAAAAATTTTTTTGTTTATTGGACGCGACTCAAAAATGTCCCACCCCAAAATGTCACACAGCCAAAACGCCACTTCTTAAAATGTCCAACAGAGTAAAAATACTCAATTTGTTAAACAATACATATAAACTGGGAGTAATCTTGATAAAAATAGGCGTTTGAATGTTTTTGACTGAGAAAATGTAAAATTTCTAGGTATAAATTGTATTTTTATTGCATATTTTCGTGGATATTTTGGGTTTTATGCATATTTTCGTGCATATTTCAGCAATTTTTTATGCATATTATAGTGCATATTTTGCATTTTTTAATGCATAAAATTCACAGCTCTATTTATAACACAAAATGGATTGGATCTTAAGAATATTTTTGTATTTAGGCCGTGTAAAATTTACATTTAACTTGGCAACTACTGCAAAATTTAATTTTTTTCTGTTAAAACAAAAATTATTTTATGCGCTTTTAAACATTTAATCAAAAAGAAAATAAAAGGATTAATTTAAAATTTGAGAGAAATACGAATATAATAATTGTGGAAATTTAAAGTAAAAAAAGAAAAATAAATTTGGATATGTAAAAATAGAGTAGATGACATAATTAAAATTAAAAAAATTAGATTTTTAATTTAAATTTTGCCATTTTTTGGAAAAAATTTTAGAAAAAGGATAGTTTTTTGCAAGATTGTTACGAGGCGAGTTTATAAAATTGTCAAATGAAGAGATTAAGCAATTTTGATTATTTATTCTTTTAAATATTAATTAGTTAAAAGAAATTTTTGTTTGGTTATTTAGTCATTTATTGAATAAAATATTTATTTTGGTGGGGTTCGCATGTATCTTAAACCATAAAAATAGAATTACAAACCCAAATATTCTGAAATTTATAAATAATCTCGAAAATATGTTTATAAATAAATTTACAAAATTTCAATGCTCTAGCTTATAAAATGACAAATTTATAAATACTCGCCTTAACAAAAAACAGTAAAAACTAGAGACCGGACTGTGAGGGTCGTAGAGAGTCGTGATTGATATCTCGAAAAACATCAATAAACGAGATTTTTGTTGGAGATTCAGTCCATGTCCGGTCTATAGTAAAAACTATCTCTAACAAAAAAGTTAACACAGCAAAAAAAAAGAAAATGAGATTATTTTTCAGAAAAATCTAAAACAATAAAAAGAGATCATTAAAAAGAATTTTAACAAAGAAAAGAAAGGAATGTGTAATTTATTTTATTTGTATTTTTTAAACTTTTTTTTTAATAAAAATCTCCAAAAAGGCAAGAAAATTGTTTGTGTTGTCCCACCATTTTTGTAGCTTTTTTTTTTAATTTTTTTTCTTTTTTTGCACCGGTCTTTCATTCGTTCCTGTGCCTTTTTTCCAACTACAAGAATTACAGGAACATGCATTCCGCATTTTGTGGATCTAAATATTTGTCTGTCTGACAAGCTCCAACACTGCCTCGTAGACGAACACATTTTCCAACATGTTTTTCAACCTTAATTGATAGAAAAAATTAGAGTTTGTGAATTTTCGGGAATTAATATTTTTGTGAACCAAATATAAACATTATCTTGATTTGGATAAAATGGACATAGAAAATATCAAAATATTTAAAGGTCAGAATGATTTAGAACAAGATATTTCCTAAATGAAGGTAAACAGATTTTTGTTGCCAGAGGAAATACCTATATGTGTTCTTAATTTATTTTGAAATCATTTTGCCCTCTAAAATTACTTCCTCCCCGCTAAATAAATTAATTAAGCAATTAAGTCTGATATTAAATTTATTTGTTTTTTTTCTTTATTTCCGGTCTATAATTACTAAAAATTATTTATTTATATTAATTTTTATTTACTTCCGTAAAGCGTGCAAAAATTATTTTATTTTCCGTGCCATTTTTATATTATCAAGACTATTTTAAATTATTTTTATTTATTAAAAAACACACTTTTCGTGACCTTAATAATAAAATAAAAACATTACACTTTAATTAATTTGTTTTTTAAATAATATTTTTTAGTGATTTAAAATTCAATCTACATATTTAATTGGATAAATGTCCAATTTGGCTCGTGTTTTGATTTAAAAACTGAGAAGGAAAAACGCCAAAAATGCAAAACGGGAATAAAAAAAGAACGAATTCTCTTTTGTAAACAGGTAGGTAGGGGGGGAGTCAATTGGATATGTGCCATTTAATAAATTGGAATATAAATAGTTAATCTACAATTTATTTTTTAAATTTATTAAAAACAAAACGGAAAGGTTTAGTGTTTTGTATAGTAAGTTAGTAGTAAGTAACCCCCTCTTTCCCTTCTAGCTAATGAAGGAACACATTTTGTATACGAATATAGCAATATCTCTAATAGATGCAGAGGTGGTCTCAAAATATTTTGTATTTTAGAGGGTATTAAATTTTAGTTGGTATTTTACTAACGAAAAAAATTCCTCACCTTCTGAACTTTAATTGTGCAAGTTGGCTCTTCTTCTTCCTCCTCCTCTTCTTCCACAGGTGCTGATCTTTCACTTTCTTTCTGTTTTGTAGATGAATTTTCTGAATTTACTTTTAATTCTTTTTCTTCGTCAGTTTTTGGCTCTTTATAACTCTGAACCCAACCAGCCAGTCCTTTTGAAATATCAGAAACTGTTGCTCCGTGATGATTATTATGGTTATTATGATGTTTATTTGCAATTGTTAGAGTAATTGCCAATAATGTAATTAAAGAAAAAATCAAAATTTGGTTATTTAGGGAATGCATTTTTTGAATATTTTGTGAAGAAATTTATTTAAAAATATTTAGTTGTAAGTAAATCTTTTTATTTTTAATCTGTTTTTCTCTCTCTATAAAAAAATAAAAGATTAATTTAATATATTTTTTTTCTAAATTTTTCTAAAAAAATGTAAAAAATTAAAAATAAAATTTAAATATATTTTTATTTAAATGGAATGTTAAATAAAGTAACTTTTCTCTTTTTGTTAATAACAAGATAATCCACTGTTTTTTTCTACTTTAGTTCTTTTGGCTCTAGCTGATTCATAATTAATTATACGTAAACTCGGCAAATTTTTCGAGATTTCACAGATTTAATTAATAGTTTCTGACTATAATTTACTAACTTATTCATATTAATATATGAGTTACGAAAAAATACAGCCAAACTGGTCACTTATTTTATACGAACATTGAAAAAAATTATTTAAACCAGACTGCACATTTTTCAAAAAAATATTCTTTTGGGTAAAAGGTATATCTACTTTGATTAGGGTTGTCGGTTTTACCAAATTCTTCGGTTAACCGAACCAGAAACGAAAAACAGAAAATGTTCGGTTTTTCAGTTCGGGTCGGTTTGAAACCGACAACCCTAATTTTGATATATCCAAAAAATGATTAAAAGTAATTTAAAATATGAAGATCCAGAGAAAACAACAGATATATGATGAAGATAAAGATTGGAAGTTCAAATATAGATATTTAAACCTACTAAATAATTTTCTAGAAAAATATTAATAAACTTATTTATTTCCTTCAAAAACATGCACTCAATTAATTAAAAAAATATTTTTCATTTCCAAAATAAAAAAAATAAATATTTGTTTTGTTCAATTCCTTGGTCTTATTAAAAATAGAAAATAAAAAAAGGAAAAGAACAACGAATAAAAAACAAAAAAAAAATTTAAATAAAAAAACAATAATAAAAACACAAACAAAATTAATTGAGAAAAGAAAACTTTGTTCACTTCCGGAAAGAAAAATAATAATAAAAAAATAAAAATATGCCTAATCAAATTTTAATAAATAAAAATAAAAGTTGCGTTAAAGGAAACTTTATTTTTAGCAAAAATAAATTAGATTGAAGGACAAAAAATATAAATTAAAAAAACACGAATAGAGGTAAAAACACAAAAAAAAATTTTTTTGGTTTTCTAAATTGGGGATAAAATTAATTTTAGTTTTTTTCTAATAAAAAAAATATTTTCTGTTACGCATTTAATTTTTTGTTTAAATTATTAAGTTTTTAAAATTGTCTATTTAAAGAAACTTGGAAAGTTGAGGAATAAAAAATACCCAAAAAAAGTTCAAAATAAGAGAATTAGTCTTTAAATAAAATCAGAATTTATTTAAATTAGGGAAAAAAATTTTTTTTATATTTTAAAAGTTTCTAAAATTTAGAAAAAAGTAAAAAAAGAGAAATACCTAGATTTCCTATTAAAGCGTTTTAATTAGCGTTGTCGTTTTCGGGTCGGGCCGACGTTCGAGTCATTTTTATCGGGCCGACTCGACCGAGTCTTTTTCGGGCTTCGTTTTTTCCGAGTCGGGCATCGTTCCTTCTTCGGGCCAAAATTCGATGCCCGACTAGATCTTTCGGACCGGACCGGGTTTTAATTGATGTAAGAGGTTTCGGTTAAAAGGGAAATTATTATATGTATTGAGAGTTAATTGAACATAGAAAAGGGATATTTTGGAAATCCCAATCAACAATATGAAGGTTTTTTAAAAATATTCTCTTCTCCTTCTTAGATATCACTTCCTTTGTATTTTTCAATGAAATAATCTTTCAAAAAATAAATAAAAATTTGAAAAAAAATTATGAACCAAAACAAACACTACTAATTATTAAAATAATCTTTTAATAATCTTAACAAAATTTTTTAAAGAAATTAAAAATAATGACAAACAAATCTCTTTTATTTTTATAAAAATAAAAGCTGCGCGAAGTTTTACTTCTCTCGAGACTTTTCTTTTATAGACAATTGAAGGCTACTTGCTTTCTTTGCATATTTTATTTTTCTTTTTCGCGCCGCCCCTTTTTAGTTTTTTTATTTTTTTAAGATTAGAAAAAAGGAATGTTTTTGCTTGTGGAGAAATAAGGGTGTTTTGCTTTTGACACGGCATTTGCCACAAAAGAACAAAAATTCTGAACAAATATTAAAATAAATCCCTTAAAGGCAATAAAAATAACGTGGGCGTCTACTGATTATTAAAACAATAAAAGATGGGGGAAATTTAGTCAAAAAAAAATTGAAAGGCACGAGGTGTGGGAATTATGAGAATTTTAAAAGGTTTTTCAGATCAATGGCATTTTTTCTTTTTTTCCGATTTTTTGTTTTACTAAACGGAAGTTTGGAAACAATAAGAGACAGGTAAACATGGGAGAAAAAAATTAAAATAACATTTTATTTTGTTTTTTAATAAAAAAATAATTTTGTTTTTGTGTGTGGGAAATATAAAAATAAACAAAAAAAATTCTGACATTTATATTAATTAAAGGTTATATGTAGCAAAAGCGATTGAGTGTTCTCAAGATTTATAAATTAAAAATAGCTCTAAGATATACAAAATGAAGGTTTATTTATAAAAGTTACCTACACTAATAATTATTCTTTGTAATTATTTTTGGTCTAAGTCTGTGAGGCCACATAACACATGGAATTATAACAAGGTAGTGGAGGGTTTAAGTAAATGTGGTAGTGAACTTACTTGATAGGAATTTTAATAAATAGGTAATTAAAAATATTTTTAAAGTAAAAATAAATATACATAATTTTTGTTAGAAAGTCTATGAATAATAAAAGTGAATAAAAATACTTTAAAATAAAAAATAAATTCTATAAATAAAGTCTGACTTTTTTAAATAATAATGAGTGTAATAAAAAAATAAAAAATAGGTTTTATAAGCCTTAAAGTTAATAAAGCAATAATCTTTGTTCGCATAAAATAAAGCATTAACGGTGCATGGCACTAAAGGTGTATATTTTCTTTCAAACAAAACACCTTTATTAGTCTCAGACAGGCGAAAAAATAAAAAACAGGGTGGTCGGTAGACTAATAAAGCCACACACATTTTCAATAAATTAAGAAAAGGTAAAATAAATCTTTTTTTTTTGGTTTGAGCATGTACATATAATAAGAACAATATTTTGAAATTATTTGCAGACGGACATTTGCGGATACAAACAAAGTTGGGTCATGCGCTGAGGTAGTGGACTAGGAAATCAGAAGAATCAGAGAGGAACATTTCCAAATATTGGAAATTGGAAATGCAAAACTTTTAAAAAATCGGAAATAGAAAGAAAACAGAGGAACAAGAGACCTCAAGTAAAGAAAGAGAGACACAAGGGAAAGGGAGAGAGAGAGTTTCCTAACAAGAGTTTCTTGTCTCCTAACATGAGATTATGTCCGCCTCAAATTCTGGACGTACATCAAAAAAGTTTTGCCATAAATGCAATAATTTATCTTTCTTGACAATTATTTAAATTAATAAGTTTTTAAAAATAAAGACAGAAACTTCTTTTAAACAAAAATTAAAACATTAATTAAAAAATTAAAAAGAAAACTTTTTAAACAAAATTTGAGTTGTAAGATTAATGTTCAAAGATGATTTTATTAACAAAGAAATAAAAAGCTATAAATAAAGTATATGTATAATAACCAAAATTATTAAAACATAATATAAAAAGAATTTTTTAATTATTTTTGCGTCAATTTTGGAGAGTAATAATTAAAAAAATAAAAAATATTTATTTTATAATTTTGGCCAATTCATTGTCTATTAAATAAAAAATAGACAAAGACTGGAAAATATTACGTAATTGTGGGAGTTTAAAAATATACTACATTATTATTAAATTAATTTTATTCTTAAAGAATTTATAGGAAGATGTTAAAAAAGTCTATTTTAAAAGCAAATTAATAATTGGATCCAAGATATTCAGGGGAAAAATTAAGCAAAATAGATTGATGGTTATGGACTGCGGAATGCACTTACAAAGGAGAGTGCCTGAGTTGTTCGTGGGACTTCGGGATGAAATTTGGTAGACAGATAGATCATACCTTACTTCTATAGTGAAATTTTCACAATGCGGGGTACCGTGGACCAAGTTATAAGCCCCCAAAGTCTATCTGTCTACCAAATTTCATCACGAAGTTCCACGGACACCTTAGGCACTCTCCTTAGTTAATAAAATTTTTTCGAGCGTCTAAAGACGTGCTTACGAAATAAAGTTTAAAAAATATTAAAGAGTAAATTTACTTGTCTTTATTTTCGAGAAAATTCTGAAATAATCTTGAGAGAATAAAAATATTTACAAAAGACTTCTAACATGTATTTAATCATTTAATTTCTTCACCAGACTAATAAAAATAAAAGTATTTATGAAGCCTTTTTATTTTAGTTTAAAACACGTTTTATTCTATAAAATAAATATTTTAAAAGGTTAAATGGGGAAACCGCGACGTGAATAAAAAAATAATTTGTTTAAGGGCAAGAATCATGTAAATAATGGTCTCAATAGACAGACTTTTTAAGAGACTTTTAAAAAGTGCGGAGGAGACACTAATTATATTTTATAGAAAGGACACAAGTTAGCCAGATTAAAGTAAAATAAAAGTGATGAAAATTGTTTTACAAAAGGAAACCGGAAAATGGCAGCAAATAAAAAAAATTTATAAAAGTAAAAAATTGTAAAAAAAGTATTTTTGCTATTTTTGGAGTTTTATCTTTTTAGTAATAAAAAAGTGATGTGAATTTTAATAAAACAACAAAACACGTTTGATTAAATTAAATATTAAATTAAAAATTAATTTAAACAAAGTAATTTTTGCTGAAAGGGATTATATAGATGTTAATCTTCTCAGAAAGTTATTTAATGTCTAAATCAGCGATAATTAACGAATTTATTTGTTTATGATTTTTAAATTTTGCTAAGTAGGCTATGAACCAGGGATCGCGCCGACCTGATTCACGATGCCCGAAAATCGTGAATTTGATTTTCTGTC